AGATGCAAGGGACAGACAGATGAACCCACAGGGACAAAACATCAAGCCAAAAAGGGACTGAGTCAGCCAAAAGGAAGAAAATTAAAGCATGAGGTTGATAAAAGAGCAATTTGGATCTTGACTATTTTGTCTAATAAACTCCTGGTGTATTGTAGGCAACTTCCAAGCTCTCTGACTTTATTTAGAGTAGTATGGGACAGTAGATGCTACTGCATTCCCATTTTTAACTGAAACCCACAAACTCTGTTTCCCTAGTGATAAACCCTATTTTTGACAGTGCCATATTTCAGCTTGACGAGCAGTGTTAAACGCAGCACAAACAGCTTGCAACTTCTATTTTCCCTGGCAGAGGCCTTTGGAAAGGAACTCTGCACAGGGCACTGGGAAAGGTATGACTCTCCCTAGATAACCTTCTCTCCCGAGGATGAATGTATTTTTAGGCAATGCAGCCACCCAATCTTAAAAAATGCAGCCTGATTTATGACACTATCATCACCACTTAAAGATCAGAAGCTGAACCACCTTAAGGCACAGCTGTGATGCCCCAAAGATGGGGTACCAGAACATCCATTCAAGAGTTTTCACGTCACTGTACACTTTGTCATCTCTTCACTTTTCAGGGCACAAACTGGTTGTTACCTTTTGGTGATTAAGAAATTCCGTGTCCAGGGAAGGTAAATGAAGCTGGGGAAGAGTCTGGAGCACAAGTCTGATAAGGAGCAGCTGAGGGAGCTGGGGGGGGGCCCAGCCTGGACAAAAGGAGGTTCAGGGGGACCTTCTCACCCTCTCCAGCTCCCTGACAGGAGGCTGGAGCCAGGAGGGGGTCGGGCTCTGCTCCCAGGGAACAAGGGACAGGACAAAAGGAAACAGCCTCAAGTTGTACCAGGGGAGGTTTAGGCTGAATATTGGTAGAATTTCCTCCCTGAAAGGGTGGTCAGGCACTGGACCAGCCTGCCCAGGCAGTGGTAGAGTCACTATCTCTGCAAGTGTTCAAAAGACGTGGATGTGGCACTTGGGGACATGGTTTAGTGGTGACCATGGCAGTGCTGGGTTCACTGTTGGACTCAATGATTTTAGAGGGCTTTTCCAACCTTAACAATTCCTTGATATCATTCCATGAATTCCCAGAAGCTGTGGCTGTAGGAGTACAGCACTTTACTGTGTGAGTTGGATCTATCTCAGTTATCCTGTAAAACAAACCCAGGCTGCTTCAGCCACTATTGCATTCCCAACCCTTTGCTCCATGCTCTTCAGGAGTGATGTCCCAGCTAGGAAAAGTATCAATCCACCCAGGAATGCTCTCTTTCTTCCCCTCAGTCTACAGATTTTGTTCCAGATTTTGCACCTCAACAATTCTTCCAAGTCTCCAGACTGCTGTGACCAGAGTGCTCTGTAACATATTCCCCCAGATGGTTTTAGCTTTCTCCAAAAATTCTGCTGCCTCCTGCTTTGCTGGGACTGCAAACAACCTCCAGAAGGGAGGAAAGGGAAAATTTACTGAGCAGTAACTGAAAACTGCCCAACCCTTTTGACATACTGCTCTTCCGAGCTTTACAAAGCAGCAGCATCCGAGACATACCTGCAATTTTACAGCTGTGGCTCAGAAGGAAGAATAACTTAAACCAAGATCTCCTGGAGGGGTTCCGGCCTCCACCTAACCCAGAGTCACCACACAAAGCACCTGACTTTTCAAGAAGCAGCTTCTGAATAAGCACAAGTGGCCAGCACCCGAAAACAAGTAAACAGCAAGTGCCAAGGTACTTGCAGAGTACTGTAAATGACATGAACTCGGGAGTTATTTCATGAGCAACTCACTTCTCCTTGGAACAGGCCAAAGGGAAAGAGGGTAGATCATCAAAGGGCAGACAGAGGATAAACAATCTTTGCTGTCATCCTTTCTGAACCAGTCCTTGAAGACAAACAAGCACTACTATTATTACATTTGGAGATGCTTTCCCAACAAGAAGCAGCAGACTTCTTCCCCTTAAGACTCAATTTTCATATAAGTTTACTCTTCCACTGGCTCTGTCACTCAGGAGGCAGAGGGAGCAGTTCATGCCCATTTCCCACCTCTTGCAAACCCTAGAGAAGTTCACCAGCCACCAACAGTTCACTTCACCAACTGGAAGCAGCTTTCTTGATGATTCCTAAACATTCACTCACATTTAACTAATATCTCCCTTTCCATTCTGCATTAGACACAAAACTATTGCCAAAAATGATTCATTGAATACAGCCTAAGTTAATAACTGAAAATAGGGGACTGATGTTCATCCGGCAGCATTCTGCAGGCACTGAGGGAGATAAAAGTACAGCTGAAGTCACCACCCAGGTGATTTTCACACCAGACACGGGCTGTGGTGCAGGTCTGTGCTGTACCACAGAGGACGATGACACAGGCTGGAGGCTCAGGAACACCACTTGTAATTTCAAAGGTTATTTTCAAAATACAGCTTTGTGGCTATAAATAGCAAAGGCAGCTTCTCACCCAGCAAGCACACAATGGGTCTTAGTCACAGTGGCCCAGATACCAGAGAAAGTGTAATTTTACCTTTGTGAACAACACACAACATTTGGGGCCACCCTGCGTTTCAAACAAACTAACCCAATTTGTAAGACTGGTCTTAGGTTTTGAGGAAGCAGCTGCCGACTCTGACAAATTAAGGCAATTGACTTTGTTAACCCTTCCATTACCTAAAAAGACCTGTTAGCCCGTCCAGAGCAACTCTCACTTTGTATTAAGTTCTTTAATCAAAGAAAAAAATTTTACTTGATTTTTCTTTCAACAAAGCCAGCTCTTTTTAACATGTAGGATTTCCCTCCTTACTGTGTGGCCCTTTGGTTTTACATGTATTAAACAAGAGCAGAGGGTCACCACCATCTGCCCTGTAATGTAACATTTTGATTCTAACACTGAGAGAAGTTACTTAAATATCCTCACATCATTTCTCAACCACAGCTCTGGGGACCCCCAATCTAACTGGTCTCGGCTGACACTTTACCATAGGCAGTATTATTCTCCAAGTAATATGAAAACAAACATATTTTGGCCAGGAACTCATAACAACCTCCCTGACCACGCTAATAAACATTTTCATCCGATACAGATTTACAGACTCGGGATACACACGCACAACAAAACCTCTAACAAAACAGTGTTTGTTCCATTTGGGTGTGCAAGAACATCTCGTCACTGCTCAGCAAAAATGTTAATACATCCATGGGACATTGAAACAAAGTTTTTATTCCAGTCACAGTGAAGTCACCCTCCCTTCCTGTCAAGTTAGTGAAGAAACCCTTCACGTAAGCAGCTGGCTGGTACCGCCAGCATCTGCTCCACTGCTCACTCACCCAAACGCTCTTCCAAGTATCAAGCCCTTGGTGTTACTGCTCAGTGTCACCCGATACTGGGCTCCTAAGACACATAATAACACAATTCTGCACCCTTTACATAGGCAGAATTCAATGTGCAGCCTGCCTGTCAATACAGGGCTCACCATGGGCTCAGCAGCGTGACCCTGCTGAGCTCATCGCCCGCTGCTGGACGAGTCCAACGCTCCTCACCAGACACCTCTGGCCAAGGGTCACGTTGCCTCCATCAGCAAGAGGCCCAGGCAGTTCTGAGGAGATCAAAACCAATCCTGGTTGGAAAGCCCTCACAAAGTCATCCCAACTCTACCATCCACCTTAAATTCAGCCTTCTTGGTTGTCCAAACCCTTTTCAGTAGCTGGTTCTTACCAATATCTCTAGGACTACTCATTTATCTGCTAATAAATGTACACAGGCCAGACTGGAGAGTATTTGTGCAGTGTAACTTACTTGCTTCTGCTATATCAAAACCCACAACCAACCAAAAAGAAAGCTGAGCCATCACGAAGTTCACTGCTTTGCCAGCTGAAGTCTTATTCAACCTGATGGTCTGTGAGCTCTCATGCTCTTTGCTTCATAACTTATTTTTGGAAGCCCAGAATAAAATGTATCAATCTTCCCTCCCCTTGTTCCCTCACAGGAGCCAGCGAGCTCCTGAACCAGCTGACACGTCCCAAATGCTTCAGTAACACCAGCCCAGCGAAGAAGAAATCCTGATCAGCTCAGCGACTGTCCTGCTATTTGTGCTAATAACGTGTTATTCTTTACAAACACATTATTTCCAGATGTTATTCCTGATGGTGCCTCTTTTCCCGCTCCTGTTGCTACACTGCATGCTTAATCTACAAGATCTTGAGCTAAGAAAATTTTCTTCCCGAGGCTGGCCCGGATCCAAACCAGATTCGTTTCACTGACCAGATGCACCAATGTGGGACACTGATTTCACATGCCCTGCTAAATTCTCCATCCGTCTTAGATAGCAACAGGTTTCCCAATATTCTGGGGGGGCAATTTCACATGCTCCCTCGCATTCCTGCTCATTTACACAAGGACGGCAAAGGCTATGGATGAAACACAGCACACGTTTCTAAACAGCCAAGCCTTTACCGCTCCACAGCCAATTCCTGGGACCACCTTGTACCATCTTCAGCGCGTGTGGCTGAATATTAATTACTAGAATCTGTGTCGCTTATCGGGGATGAGGGCACTCTGCTCCCTGCCAAAGGAGCAGTTGGGGGAGTTTCAAGGCAACTCCGATAAAACACAACACAGGCGCTGACCAGACACACTCCTGACCTTGCAAAATCCGCGCTCCCTCGGGAAAATTTTTCCCAACATCGCTCCTATTTCAGCAGACCCCGAATTCACAAAGGCAGAAGTTTTTTCCAAAAATTAACAAACCGGCCAGCTGGCCAGGCCGGGCAGCCCTGACAGCCCCTCTCGGCCTTTATTCTGCTAATTAAGCTCCTTAATAACCCCGCAAAAGCCCGGCACATCACGCTGCCCGACCAGGACAGGCCACCCGGGGCCGTGCCGTGACAGCGGCTGAGCGGGGCTCGGCTCGCAGCGCCCCGTCCCCCTTTGTTTACCGACAGCCCCGGCCCCGCGGAGCCCCCCCCGGCCCCGGTACCTGGTGCAGGGCTGTCAGCCCGTCCACGTTGGTCGTGTTGATGCGGGCGCCGCGGCCCAGCAGCCGCTTCACCTCCTCGGTGTCGCCGCTGGAGCAGGCGGCCAGGAACACGGCGCCCTCCTCGAAGCGGACGCGGGACCCCCCCGCGCCGCGGTGCCGGCCGCGGCCGCCCCCCGCCGCCACCGGCTCCTGCTCGGTGAGGGAGCCCTTCCAGCGCCGCAGCTGCTCGGCCCGCCGCAGCCGCGCCGACTCGGCTCGCTTGCCGCCCAGGTGCTCCGGCTCGGACATCGCCGCCGCTCTGACGGGACGGGACGCGCGGGGGCCGCGCCGCGCTCAGCCCGGAGCGGGGCGCAGCGCCCCCGCCGCCATCTTCGCTACGCCCCCCCCCCTCCCGCCCCGCCCGCGCCCCGCAGCACCCCGGGACATGTAGTTCAATGGGGGGGCGGTGCCGCACCTGCCCCCCCCCACCCCGGGGGCGGCCGCGGCTTCCCGGCGGCCCCCGCGCCGGCACGCACCTGGGCGCGACCGGGACTACAACTCCCGGCGGCCCCCGCGCCCGCGGGGCTGGGCGCCATCGCTGCGGGCCCCGCCCACCGGCCAGGGACGGAATTCCACAATCCGGGAATCACTGAGGGTGAGAAAAAAAGATCTCCCGGGACCTGTGAGCGTAACCTGTCAATGCCTGACAGAGGTTTTCACGGAGAAATTCCTCCTGATGTCCGATCTGGACCTCCCCTGGCGCGGCTTAACACTGGGTCGTCTTGACCTGTCCCTTGATCCCTGGGGGCAGAGCCGGACTCTCCCCTGGCTCCCCCCTCCTGTCAGGGATTGCAGAGCCAGAAGGTCCCCCCTGAGCCTCCTTTTCTCCAGGCTGAGCCCCCCCAGCTCCCTCAGCCGCTCCTGGTGCTCCAGACCCTTCCCCAGCTCTGTTCCCTTCCCTTCACTCAGGGTGTGGAGCTCTCAGAGCAGCGGGTCCGGCGGCTGCAGCTCCAGTCAGACACCGGTGGGTTCATGGAGGAGCTGCCAGAACCTGTAAATTTGAAACTAAGGACTAAGCAATAATCGTCAGGAGGGCTGTGAGAGCTCTGGGACCCTGGCACAAGAAACATTAAAAAAAAAACCACACACACACACACACACAAACCGCAAAAACAACAACAACAAAATAAACAAAAACACAAAACCCAAAAACAAACAAACAAACAAAACCCCAAACAAACCCCTCCAAAAAACCACCACCAAAATCACGGTGATGTGAAAGTTCCCTGAAAACAAATTCATCCTCCTTGGAAAACCTCAGAAGGCAAGAAGCTTTCTCAGAACTTTATGCAACTCTTCCACCACATTAGTACAAGATGTGTGCGGGGTTGCAGGCGTTAGAGAAGAAATATTATGAGAACCTTCGCTTCTTTGGGCATTTAAAGGTGTATTTAAAGAAGCCCTGGGAAAAAATAGTGGTGGACAAATGCATGTGATACAAAAAATTTAATATTTCAATTCCTGGTTTCCCCAGGTTCACCCGAGCCCGGCCAGTGGGGTTGGAGCAGAGCCCCCCAAGGGAACACGGGTGTCCCTCCGGCACAGCCCCCCGGGCTGCTCCCTTGCAGCTCCACCTGCTGCAGAGGGGAAGCTTTGGGATGAGATGTTTGCCTTGGCTTCGTTGCGCCTTCCCCGAGCCCCCTCTCGTGGCTGCGCGTCCGTCCCGTGGCGCTGAGCGCCCTGCGGGGCTGGCTCTGCTGGGCTGGTGCCGAGCATCGCTCTGGGCTTCGTCTGAGCTGAGGGGCTGCTCCTCTTAAAACAACTCCAGGAGTTTTCAGCAGAGTTTCAGGATAACCCCCCAGGGACTTTTTGGCTTTGGTGGAATTGTAACGAAGCCTGGAGAGATCCCCCTTTGTTGCCCGTGGCATTCCATCCCTGACGGCCACAGGGACTCCCAGGAAAAGAGAACGAACACACCCAGTCAACTTTCACAGAACCTTTTATTAAAATAACATTCTTCAATAAACGTATTACAGAGGAAAATTTAAAATCCTAACTTCAACAACTTAACATTATTAATATTTAAACATACTTACAAACAGTCTAAAACCAGAACAATGAGAACTTGAAGATAAAGCTAACTTATCTTCTTATCTTTTACATAACAAACTCTACTGAAGTAACAAAATCTACAGAAGCCTATCTTCTACCAAACAGTAACTACAATTAAAACTAACTCCAAAAACTTAACACTCAACACTTGAAGAACTAGAAACCCTAAATGACAATTCGTCTTCCAGACTTTGTGTTTTCTTCAACAGCAGTGACGTGCTCTTTTCCTTTTAACTATCTCCTCCTCCTCGTGGTCAGTACAATCCATCTGTAGACGTCTCTGCCAATTAGAAAAAGGAAATCCTCACCTTGAGAAAAATACCCACCAATGTGCAATTTTAGTACACACCCCCCCAGCCAGCCTGTCAGGACACCCCAGTAGGCAGCAGAAGGTGCCTGGGAGATCCTTTGGCATTCCAAGACCCTTGGTCTGGAGATGGTTTGAGAGTGGTTTTGAACCTCAAGCTGCAAAAGGTACTGGAGCTTCCTTGCTCCTCTGGCTGTGGCCTCACAGTTGTTTCAAAATCCCTTTGGAAGCTCCCAGCTGGACAGGCACAAACTCCAACATGCCCCCTGAGATCCCTTTGGCTACTCAGCCTTAGGGGTGGGCAATCAAATTCCTGCCACGCTTTGCTGGAGCTGCTCAGGAGCTCACGGGCTGGAGACTCCAACAGTGCACGGCTGTGTCAGGCACCACAGAGCTGTCATTACTGCCTTGGTCTGCTTTAAAACACTCAGTAACCCCCCCAGCTGGGGGACACTGACACAGTTCCCCCAAATCCCAATCCCATCTGTACCTCACACACACACAGCAGCACCTGGGCAGGGACAAAGCCGAGGGGTGGCACCAGTTAAATGACACAGAAGATGCGAGATCAGACTGTGCCACCAGATCACCAACAGACTCTGGCCCCACCCAGTCCTTCCTTAACCCTTCCCCCAAAGCAGCCAGGGTTTTCCTAGGCAGCTCTTGGGGTGAGTTTCTCTCTCCCTCAGCCCCCTGCCTGTCACACCCAGTACAGCTCTGCTGTCCCACCCAGGACAGCTCCTCACACCAGTTCTCCCACCTTGGGGGCCGCCACCGCCGGCCTCAGGGTCGCCTTCTTTGAAGGGGAGCCACGGTGTGGGACACTGTAAGAGAGACAGGACAGGTGATTCCAGCTTTGCTGCTGTTTCAGACTCAGCCAGGATCAGAAATGCCTTGCTTAGCTTTAGAGGGAATTGGGCACACTTGAGAAGGCAATCCAACTCCATCCCCAGTTCTGCCCTCACTGGGAGGCTCACCAGCACCCCATCTGACACTGAGGCAGAGTGAATCCCAACTCAGGGGACAGAGCAAGATTCTGCTCTTCAGAAGCTGAGAGTTTTCTGAAGGGAACAATTAATCCACTGACCAGCATCAGCTCTACTACAGGAGGCCACGAGGAAAGGCAGATGGGACTTTCCTCTAATCCAAGAAGTTTTCATCAAGAATGAAACCCAACCCCAGTGCCCAGTGCTCCTGCTGCCCTCTGGGAAATTAAAAATCAAGGAGCAGCCTTGCAGAATGGCAGTCCCTGGCAGGCTCAGGACACACAAACTGAGGCCTACCTGCTCACTTTCTGCTCTTGTTGCTGCTCTTCTTTCTCATTGTTTGTCTTCAGTCCAAAAGTCTGAACGTAGTTGATAGATCCAAGTGCCTGACAGAAGTTGTCCACTAGGTATCCACTAAGGGACATGCCATCTTCCTGCAGAAAAACAAACCAGGGTTTCAGTCTCAGATGATCCCAGGCAGAAGTTCAGAAACCTTTGAGTTTAATTTGGAAAGGAACTGATTCCTTGGCCAGTAAGTAAAGAACAGTTGTGAAGCAACTGGATTTATCCTTAATAGAAAAGCTGAAATCTAGAAATAATTAGGAAGCTTTGCATGGAAATGGACAAGAAACTCAGCAGTGTCCTAGCGCTACTTGTGACACTGCCATTCAACCAGGATGGTGCAATCTGGGAGAGCTGCATTTTACCTTTTGCCCTGAGAGGGCCCAGACATGTCAGAGCTGAAGCTGCTGCTGAACTCACCAGTTTGATGAATTCCAACAGCTCAATCACAGTCGGGATGAGCAGCTGATACACAGCTCCATTTTCCAACACAGCAAGTAAAAACGGCTCAAGGAGGTTTCCCTGGGTGATGTAATGGTTATAGAACTCATCTCTCAGGCAAATTACCTTATTCATAAACTGAAAAGCATCTGTATGAAGAGAGAAATTCAAGCATTTAATAGCCACATGCCCGGGCTCCAGTCCAGAAATTCATTCCCGTGAATTCTGAGTTCAGGTGTCCACTGACACTGGAACACCCTGCACACAGGTCATACAAAGCCCTGAAGAAGGAAATCACCACAGTTCTATACTCACTCAAGGCCAGAAATGTGTGTTTGGAATTCATCAAGACCAGGACTCTTCTTAGCAAATCCCTGCTGATAACGTAATGCCTCATGTGCTCCTTGTGCCATTCCAAACAATATGTGAGCAGCTTCAAAATTAGGGAAAGCAGTTTTGCCGTTTGATGGTCATCTACAAGGAAAATTAATGCCTTCAACTAAGCAAACAAACCAAATAATGTATTGTCATGCACACCAAACTCAGTTCCTGTTACAGTTCCTGACATGTTCTTAGTGGACTTTTGCTTCAGGAAGCGGAACGCTGGGTCAGAACAAAACACAACTGGTTTTGCCCTTACAGCAAATATTCTTTAAAATTATACAAGTCAAACTGCTACACCATTAAGGCCACACATCAAGGAGGTGCATCTTTTCCAAAGAACAGCATCAGGCTCTGTCAACACTCAGAGCTGCAAGACAGGGCTGAAAACTGCTGCCCACAAGAACTCCAGTCCCTGGGGGAGCAGCAGGGATGGATGCCTGGGGAAAAGCACTTTCCCCAAGTGTGTTTCCAGCTACCCTCACGAGCTGATTGCTGGGATCAGCACTGTCAGTCACTGATAAACATTAAAAGCCTAAAAGGGGGGGAAAAAAAAATTCTCATTACCTATTTCACATGTGCCTTCTGCTGCATTGGCCGAAAGTGGAGCAGTCAGAACAGGAAGACAGCAGGTGTAGAAGTAGTTGAGAAATTGAAATACTTGTGCAGCCTAAAACAGAGAATCATTTCCTTAAACACTGGCCTTCCCATACACCTTTTAAATAAGAAAGGGCAGTAACAGCAGAAACAGCCTACAAAGAATTCTCTTGGCTCCTTCAACTCTGCCTGGATCTCTCTCTGGCTGGACCTGCAGCATTGTCTGCACTCAACAAAGATCAGCCAACCTCACTGTCACGGGTGCAAATATATCCTGGGAACCCACCAGTGACTCCAAGTGCTTGACAAAGTGCCCTTAAACCATTCTCAAGTGCAGGAATTATGTCATGACAACCTGCAAACCTTTTCACAGCTATTCCTGCACATTCCAATGGATTAAAACGTGGATTGGGTTTCTCAGGGACTCTCCTGGACTCTGTTCTTTCTAGATTTCTCCCCCAGCCAACAGGAGCTCTGCCCAGACAGGGCTGTGTCACTGAAACCCAGCGCTGCTTGGCTTAACAAATCCCATCCCAGTGCCCCACACACAGAGCTTTCCTGAGCAAAGGGAGTGGGAACTTCAGCTTGTTTCACAGCATCTTTAAATTCAGTACCAGACCACACACAGCACCCAAGAAATCACCCAGAAACGAAAACTCCTTTTACCCTCTGCCCACAAAATCAGCAGTAGAGAATCTCAGGGTTTCAGGTTTGCTGAGACAGTGATGTGTCTTCAGCCCTTCTCATTTTCTTACCTTAGCTGTGGGCAGCAGGTTCCCTGGATCGAGCAGAGTGCACAGCAGATCCGTCAACTGCTCAGCTTCCCCAAACTCGGGACCGTGGCGGCGGATCAGCTGCTCAGTGAGCACGCTGATGAGGTTGGTATCCTGCAAAAAAAAAACCCAAACAAAGAAGACACAGAATAATTAGATAGCCGAGTGGAATTAGTTCCCTGGTTTTCATCGTGGTTTTTGTTTGTTTGTTTGTTTGTTTTAATAAAAATTACAATAAAATAGAAAGATGGAGATTTTGTTTGGCTGGTTTGCTTCCTGCTTGCCCTAAGGCTGGTTTATTCAACAAACTCCAACCCACTTTTACTTACAAGGTGATTCTGCTGGGCCTCTTTCATTACAAATTCTTGGACCATGAATGGACAATAGCCTGCTAGGTCAGACAAGATGTCTGCGGCAGCACCTCTAACTTGCAGATCATCCATTCCCTAACAAAAAAGAGATTAATTTGCCAGGGCAAATCAAGTTTGGGATTTATTATCAGGTAAAGCTACAAAGAAAAGGGAGTTAAAAGGTTTGGGAGTGTTTCATGACAAAGTTTCTATGAGAAACAAATATATATGTAACCATATTACAGAAAAACAGCAGTAAACCAACAGCATCTTTCCCCCACTCAGCATTTTCCCATTGCTGATTAAGACATATTAATCTGCTAACAACAGGATCTTTTGGGTAGGAACCAGCTGACAGTTCGAGATTACCTAAAAATCCTTCTTTGGCCCTGCTCCAACAACAACTGCAATGGCAACACGAAAAATCTCCAGAGCACCCAAGTCAGGGCCTTCAGAGAGCTGTGGGCAGCTTTTGGGTTCTGAACATTCCAACCAGCTTCCACCCTCAGCAGAGCAAAGCTGTCCCAGCAAGCTGACACAGAAGTGCTCAGCAGACCCCAAACCTGCTTCAGTGGCTGAGGGATTTTCTAGTTTGATTAAAATCCACTTGAAGTTTTCACTTACGATTAGAATTGCAAGAGTTGAAAGAATTCCCAACTTGATCGATCTTTGTAAAAATTTCTGTCTCTTCTTTTGGAACATGAGGGAAAAGGTACAGACTTCCTTGAGAAAGTTAACCTGATGCATAAGAAAAAATAATTTCAGGTGTATTTGAGTCAGAAAAGTCTCTGAAAGGAGGAAATGGTTCCAATTTGTAGCAGAGTTTGAGTCCTAGCTGGGATGTACCTTCCTACAAAGTAGTATTGTTTTAGTTCTGTCTCGTCCAGCATTTACCAACATCAATAAAGGAAAGTAAACCAAAGTAAAACACAGAAAAAGAATAAATGAAGGTGCTGGGCTTGAGCTTGGAAAGAAATACAGTCACCTTGTAGCTGTTTTATCACCCCAGCTTAGGAAGGATTGATTCTCCTGCCAGGTCTGAAGGGATAAAAGGCCTTCCTCTCTGAAAGTGAGCACTAAACAAGGAATTTAGGCAGCTAAATGTGTTCAAGGATAAATACAATCTGTAATACATATATAAAAGAACAATCCTCAGTCACTGGACTTTAAAGATCTCTCTGAATCAGTAAAGCACAGTGACCAAAGCAGTGCTGATATGACTGGAAGTCAGTGATCTGGGAAGCTGAAGGGCACTGGGAAGAAAGGAGAGCTTGGAATCGATGTCAGCTCAGTGCTAGTCCTTTCTGCACAGTAAAATCATTATTTACCACAAATAAATCAGAGCTTATGTTGCCAGAAAGATTTTTGTAGTGGGTACTTAAATGAAGACTGAGCTCCCCTGGATGTGGTTCCAGGGCTCCAGAAATACTTCAGTGACCTCAAAGAACTCATGGAACGATTTCACTTTTTCTACTTCATCTCTCTAATTTTCAAGCATTCGAGGAACCACTGAGAGCACGGACTTACCAATTCCAGTCGTTCGTCCTCAGCTGTATCTTCATTTGTTAACTGGGCAAAAAGGTCAGACAAAAATTCCTCGTCTTTCTGCGTGACACACAAAAGGAACACAACTCACACAGTGCCTCTGGAGAAGGCTAAACTTCCTTCTTTATGGGATCCCACACTGCCCAAAGTCCAGCTCTCCACACCTCCATTCATTTCATCCCCAAAAAGGCAAATGCCAGAGTACACACCCGGCAGGATCATTTTCCAGGTCACTGTTTCAGCATTCCCTCCATGCAGCAGAAGCAGGTCCAGGAGACCAGACCCACAGGATAAGCTGAGATAAAACTGCAACTACAAAGAACCAGCCAAGACACAACTCCTCCCGTGCTGCACCTGCTGTTCACACTCCACTGGGAACATCCCACAGGATCCCTTTCCCTCTTTGGGATCTGCAGCCCTGCAAAGCATCTTTTCAAACCACCTGGACCAGGGTGACCAAATTCACGGTTTGCTGCAGCTACATCCCTGTTAACCTTCCTCACAATCAACTTACAGACACTCTGCTTTGCACCTCTGGACAATTACTGGCTTTTTTTTTTTTTTTTATTCCTTCCCATGGAAGGCAGATGTGGCAATCTCTCTGAGCAGGCTCTTTGGAATCGCAGGTTCAGAATTTGTTACACACACACACATCACAAATTTCCCTGATCTGGAATACCAGAAGTTGCTCTTTCCCTACACACCTGTACAAACCAGCTCAAAAGGAGGATTAGGAATCAAAGAGAAGAACTTTAAACTCTTTACAATCCATTAAAAAATATTTAGATATTCACCTGAAATCTTCTGTTTCTAAAGCACAGAGTCAAAGATATGAGGAAGAAGGGGAAACATTCTGAACACTGTGCAAGTGAAAGCACGTGGGATTAACTGTGATCCATTGGAAACTACAGCTCCAGGGCCCAACCCCTTTAGACCAGATCAAACCCACTTACCTCCAACACTCGCAAGATCTCCTCTTTCTTGCGGCGGATGAAGGAATTGAGGACAAAAGGATAATTCTCTCCCAAATCAGGCGGATTTGGCAAGAAGTTAGCCTGAATATACTGTGCCTGGTACATCTGGTGGAATTTTTTCTGGATCTTGGGGTCTTTGATGGGAACGATCTTCTTAAGCTTGGCTCTTTGACGGGAGAGCTGCTTGTGGTGTTTGGGCTGAGCCAGCGAAGGATCGTACTCCAGGCATCCGATGACATCCATAATATACTTCTCAGAGAACATCACTTCAAACAGGCTTGTTTTACCAAGGCGCAGAATCCCTTTCATAATTCCATTCAACTGGTGTAAGGCCTTGGTGGTCTTGGACTTCTTGCAGGCTTGGAAAAGCTGCAATAGTTTTGGAATATAGCCCTTCCTCTTCATGACCAGCCCCAGTTTTTCTCTGCGGCTGCGTGAGGAGAGGGCAGAGGTGATCAGATCGGCGACGTCTGCGAGCCTGTTGGTCTCACAGGGAGGAAGGTCGATCTTTGAAGGCATTTCTTGCCGATGTTCCTCTTCCGACACAGAAAGACACGGGGGTGACTTCCACGGGACGTCGAAATCCGAACGCGGAGCAAGAGGGAAGGCAGAGAGAAGCTCGCGCTGCGCTTGCCTCCTGTTTGCTCTGCCCCTGAAGCTTCCACAGTGTTCCGTTGTCTCCAGCCTCCTTGTGATGTCACCTGCACCGGGATGCTCTGCACCTTCATCTCCAGCCCTCAGGGTTCCTAAGGTTCTACGTTCCGGAATGACCGACCAACGTCTGAAACTTGAGGAGAGAACTTCTAGAGCTAAGAGGAGATGTTCCAGCAGCCTTCCAGTACAGGAAGGCTGGACAGAGACTTTTGCCCACGTCATGCAGTGACAGGACAAGGGGCAGTGGCCTCAAGCTGAGGGAGGGCAGGTTTAAATCATGTATTAGGAAGAAATTCTTTACTCTAAGGGTGGTGAGGCCCTGGCACAAGTTGCCCAGAGAGACTGAGGACTCCCCAGGCCTGGAGATGTGTAGTGAGTTGACCCTGGCACTCACCAAAGATGCTCTGGCCTCCAGAACTGGACAGCAGAGAGAAATTAGAACAAAGGGTTCATGGGTTGAGATAAGGAGAGAGACCTCACCATACACCATCATGGCCAAAACAGACTTGAATTGGGGATATTAACTGAATTTATTAATAAAAAAATCATATGTGGCTGTTAAAGGGTCCTCCTGGTCACTCCCTTACTCTCCAGTCAATGAATTAGCTCATGGATGGGAGTCATGGATCTCAGCTGGTGGATATTGCTGGCACTGTACTTTTCTGCTGGCAATTGGCACTTGCTGGTCTTCAGCTTGTAGCAATCCCACGATGAAGGGATCTTCTGATAGACCAGGCAGGGTAGATAATTGTTTGATCTTCTCTGTATTCACAGTAGCTACACCAAAAGCCCACCAATACTCCTTTGGATCCTTGAAGTGCCCTCTCCTGAGGTAGTCAGTGCCAAGGATACACAGGGCTTTTGGGCCAGTCACAATCAGGAGCTTTTCCCACTTGTCCCCTGCTAAACATCGAATCCACACAGTCCTGTATGCCTGGTTATTCCTTTACTCCTCCTGGCTGATGGCAGGGAGCCTCTATTCCTGTTCCTGGCCAAAGTATTCGCTGTCCGACCTTTGCGATGCCAGACCAGAAGTGCTCTGAGTACCGGGAGCGATGCTCGGCACCAGCCCAGCAGAGCCAGCCCCGCAGGGCGCTCAGCGCCACGGGACGGACGCGCAGCCACGAGAGGGGGCTCGGGGAAGGCGCAACGAAGCCAAGGCAAACATCTCATCCCAAAGCTTCCCCTCTGCAGCAGGTGGAGCTGCAAGGGAGCAGCCCGGGGGGCTGTGCCGGAGGGACACCCGTGTTCCCTTGGGGGGGGCTCTGCTCCAACCCCACTGGCCGGGCTCGGGTGAACCGGGGGAAACCAGGAATTGAAATATTACATTTCTTCTATCACATGCATTTGTCCACCACTATCTTTCCCAGGGCTTCTTTAAACACACCTTTAAATGCCCAGAGAAGCAAAGGTTCTCATAACATTTCTTCTCTAATGCCTGTAACCCTGCACACACCTTGTACCAATGTGGTGGAAGAGTTGCATAAAGTTCTGAGAAAGCTTCTTGCCTTCTGAGGTTTTCCAAGAAGGATGAATTTGTTTTCAGGGAACTTTCACATCGCTATAATTTTGATTGATAATTTTGATATTTTTTTTTAGTGTTCCTTGTGCCAGGGTCCCAGAGCTCTCACAGCCCTCCTGACGATTATTGCTTAGTCCTTAGTTTCAAATTTACAGGTTCTGGCAGCTCCTCCATGAACCCACTGGTGTCTGACTGGAGCTGCAGCCGCCGGACCTACTGCTCTGAGAGCTCCAGGCACCCTGAGTGAAGGGAAGGGGACAGAGCTGGGAAAGGGTCTGGAGCTGGGGGGGCTCAGCCTGGAGAAAAGGAGGCTCAGGGAGGACCTTCTGGGGTCAGACTCCTCTTCCAAATAGGAAGCAACAGGACGAGAGGAAATGGCCTCAAGTTGTGCCAGGAATTTCTTAATCCAGAGTTCAGGGCAAAATTACTGTTGAATCTAATGGCAAGTTTTCCAGGTCCAAAGGAAGCCCCTCCCTGCTGCCCTCCCAGTCCTTCTCCCTTCCTTCCAGTTTCAGTAACACACTCCCAGCAGCTGGAACATTCTGGGCTCCTCAGCTCCTGCCAGTGAACTGTCTTCCCCTGATGAGCCGTGGTGGCTCAGAAGAGCAGAGTGAGTGCAGAAGGGTTCCATGAGCCCCATAGAGCAGCAGCAGCCTCTTCCTACCAGATACCTCTTCTTTAATGGCTACTTACATTTTTTTGAGTAGAAAAAGCCCAGCCCAGGCACGAGACATTAAATAGGGGCCTTTGCCAATTGCATCCTGGTCTGGCTTGGCAATCCTGTCCATGGGCACAGTGATCAGGAGCACTGGAGCATCCTCACCTACTCCAGGGGCTGGAACATCCTCATGAAGCACAGATGAGCCTCAGGGGCTCCCAGGGCAGCAGCTCAGGGTGGGAAGCAGTTTAGCCACCAGCAAAATCTGTTCTCTTCTCCTGACTTCCCCTCATGGAGCAACCTGAGGAGCTGCTCCTGGAAGTGGCTGCCTTTTGTTGGTCTCCAGGTCCAGGGAACAGAACATCCATGGATTGGATCTTCTTTGGATCTTCAGGACACCAAAAATGCCTAAGAATGGGAAGATCCTTTCTCTGTCCAGGTTTCCCTGTGTGGGGTTTGCTGGGATCGAGGAGGGTATTCCCACTCCCCTCCTTGCCCTCCTCCATGGGTAGAGGGGGAATGCCAGAGGGGGACAGATCCAGGGGAATGGTTCCCAAGGGCATGGAGAATGGGAACTTGTACCCCAACAAGCTGCAAATCAGACATAGATGATCATACAAGGGAACACCCAAACTCAGACTGGGATGTGGAGTCCTGATGGGGGATGTGAGTATGGAGATGCAACCAGGGTTGGACAGACAGTTCAGTGCTGGGTCAGTCTGCAGGGCCTACACATGGACCACCCTCAGCTTTTCATGGTTTAAACAGCATTACCTGGAGCCTTGGGGTTGTTTTTCACATGGTCCTGGGCCTTCCTGTGCTCCTGTATTGCCCTGGCACAGAAACACACAGGAAAAAGGGAAAGAGCAGCTTTGCAGCCCTGCAGCCACACTTTCTGTAGGCTGCTCTGGGAATGTGTTGGCTCGGAGGGCACTGCTGGAGGGTACAGAGGGTCCATGGACAGCAGGGAGGTGCGGGTGTTGTCTCTGCACACACGGCTGGGGCGCTCTGAGCTTCTCATTCACCAACACCCCCAAGTCCTTCCCCTTCGGGGCTGCTCTCAGTCCATTCTCCTATCTTGCAACTCTTATTTAAATTTAGAGGAAAACGTCCGGCATAACAGAACACCGAGCCAAACATCTGGTAGATGCCACCAAAGGCAACATCCGCTTGGGAACCGGCCTGAGGGCTTTAGGGACCCGCCGCTGAGGGGGGTCCCGGGGCCGGTGGGTGTCGGGGAGTCCCCGGGCCGGTGGCGGGGCTGTCCCGCCCGTGCCCTCCTCCGCTGGATCCCGTGACATCAGTCCCGGATGGCTCCGAGCGCCGCCGCCCCGCGACCCGCCCTCCCCCGCCGCCAACAAAACCCCGAGCGGCCGCCGGGCACAGCCCCGCTCCCGACAGCGGCACCGGCACCGACAGCGACAGCGACACCGGCCCGGCCGCAGGTGGGTGCGGGGCGGGGGCGGCCACCGGGTCCCACCGAGCGCAGCGGAGCCGCCCCCCACCCGCGGCCCCGCTCGCCGGGGCTACCGCTGCCTCCATCCCTCCCTCCTCCCTCCTGCCATCCCTCCCTCCTGCCATCCCTCCCTCCCTCCTGCCATCCTTCCCTCCGTCCCCACGGGCTGCCCCATCCCCGCTGCCATCCCCACTCCACTCCCTCCTTCCCCAGCCCGGCGGACCCCACCGGGGTGGGATGCGGGGCTGGAGAGGGGCACAGCCCCGCCGTGTGCCCGTGGGGTGGGCTCAGGGCGGGGGAACCCCTGAGGCACGATCGCCGGGGCACCCGCGCACGTGGCGGGGATGCGGAAGCCAAAGCTGTTGCATCAGGTCGGGTGAGCTTTGCTGACCCGGCCGCGAGTGGGCCTTGATCCACGGGTGGTCACTGCCCACCTGGGTGCCAGACTGCCAGTCATCGGAACCCCCCACTCAGTGTTCCCTTTTGCAAAGGGAAATCTCAGGGGGATGGTCTCGGGCTGGGCTGTCAGCAGAGTCCTTGCACCCTGTCCCCTCGCCAAAACTCGGGGTCTGCTGTCCCTGCACTTTGCAGTCTCAGTAAAGCTCATTCCCAGCTCGGCCCTCGCTGCTGTGGTGAACTCGGCTCACTTCACAGAGATTTGCATCACTGGGGACCCCGCTGGGTTCCTCTGCTCTGTCCACGCGCCTCGTCTGCCTGGGTGACTCCTGCTGCAAATCTCTGCCCATTTCATGGCCATGCCAGCTGCTCTCTAAACTGGAAGGCACTAATCAGACCCTGGGGTTTGGGGCTCCTGCTATGGCTCCCTTCCCTTTGACTTGTCCCTTTTTGCCATGCCATGTAATAATCCTGCGTGGGCTGCTGTGAACATCCTTAGAGTGAATTTTGTGCAGCTCTGACTCTTCTGTCATTCACTTGTATTAATTCCCTCATTGGAAAAAAAAAAACCAACCCTTTTACATGGGCCAGCGCGAGTGTCCTGTTCCTCAGTGACCTCCAAGCACAAAGTGATTGCTCTGCAATTAATTACTGTAGGATTTTAGTAGGGCACATTCTTGGGAAAGGTTTTCCAGCTGTTGGGATGTTCCTGCCCTGCTCTGGGTTGCTCCTGTGGCCATGGAGCTGTGTCCACATGGGGACGGGTGCCCCTTCAGCTCCAGCAGTTACAAAGCAGCTGCCTGCAGGTAGGCAGGAGGGAGGTTTTCAGCTTGGATGGGAGTGACCAGCGA